TTGACTCCAGTGGTGCAAGCTGGTCCCAAGCCCCGCTGGGGCCTGCTCTGCCCTGCCTTGCAGGGGGCAGGGCTGCTCCACTTCCCCCTTTGCCTCCCCCACAGAGCCCTGGTGGGCATCCTGTGAGGCCCAGCAGGGGCCACTCTGGCTCTCCTTCCTCCAGTCTCCATGGCTCAGGACCAGGCTAAGGGCAGAGGTAGATGGGGAGACATGGGGGCCGCACAGGGCCCCAGTGGCAGTGAGGGAGCTTGGGACCCTGAGGGGGGCATGCTGACTCCTTGCTGGAGAAAAGGCACCTAGATAGGGAAGCTAGGCTTGCGGGCCTCCCAGGGGGCCATGGGGTGAGGTGGGGTAGGCTGAAAGAAGCAGGAAGCAGGGTGGTGAGCAAACCCCAATCCTGGTTCCCAAACCCCCAGCCCCTGAGGGAGAACAAAGGGCTCCTGAGGCAGAGCCCTGCCCCATAACCCTCTGCCTGAGCAAGATGGCCTCATCCTCTTCCCACCCTTCCCCCCAACCCGAGCCCGGGTTCACTTTCTTTCCCACCCTTCCCACTGCCCTGCTCCAGGCCCTCTACCGAGGGTCAGAGGGGCCTCAGGCTGTCTTGGTGCCGGGGTCCACCTCCTTGTGGGCCCAGAGCTCCTTGTGCTGCTTCCGGCCAAAGCCCTCATCGTAGTTGCCTTTGCTCTTAAACAGCTGCTGAAAGTGGGGTTTGCAGTAAAATTCCCCATGCAGCGCCGCGTAGCTGCCCAGGCTGCAGAAGCAGAACAACTGTGGTCAGGTCAGGTCAGGGCTGGAAGGCCAGGGCAGGGGCAGGGCAAGGGCGCACCTCAGCTTGGTGTGACAGTGCTTGCAGCAGAAGCAAGAGTTGTGGAAAATGACCTTGTCGGCCACCAGCCGCTCCATGGGGTACACGGTCTTCTGGCAGGCAGAACAGGTCTCCTTCACCTGGGCCCGAAGGCTGAAGGACTGTTTGGGGGAGAGACTCAGCCAGGGGCCTGACTGACACCCATCCCTTCCTCCCCAACACCCCACCCTCAGGGCCCTACCTTAGAGCGCTGAACAGTGCTGCTGCTACCGCCACCTTTGGCTTCCTGAGGGAGAGGGCCAGTGAGGGCAGGGTCTGCTGAGGGATGCCCCCGACCGTGGCTGTGGTCACCAGCCCAGGTCTCAGGGGCATTCAAGGGGATGGGGGCAAAGGGTGGCAGGCAAACATGCTGCTCCTCACCCCTTCACCCCAAGGCCAGACACCTGCCCGGAGGGCCCTCCCACCCTGCTGATCACCTACATGAGAGGGGGTGGCCTGGGCGGCTTCTGCAGCCTGGAACATGGCTCCTTGGAGGTGATGGAGGCCCCGGGTGAAGACACGGCACCCGCTGGGTTCTGCAAGGGGAAGTCGGTCGGGAGGGCCCCACAAGCCCTTCCCCAGCCTGCAGGGTGGGGGTGGGGTGTTTACAGGCAGGGGGCTGGTGGGCTGTGGTTGGGACTTTCCCTAAGTCATTTCCTGTTGCTCTTGGTCTTGCCACTTCCGCCCCTCACCCACCTCCCCCTTCGCTTGCCCGCCCCCCACACTGCTCCCCCAGGGGTAGAGGGGCCTGAGTGGAACCACGTGTCGGAGGAAGAACAGAGGTAGCAGGCTGCAGGGAGCGGCTGGGGGTGGGGAAGGGGCTCGCGCAGTCGCCGTCAGCGCCTCGCGGACCCCGAGGTCTCTTGGGCTGAAGGGACGTCAGGAGAGGGCGGGCCGGGCGGGGCCGCGGCGAGAACCCGCTGCCCTCACCTGACCCCAGCCCAACGCTGCCCAGCGCGGAGCCGAGGCAACGAGGCTGCGGGCGCCCCCAGCTCGGCCCGCCCAGCCCCTGGACAGCGCTCGCGAGCCGGGCCGCCCGCCCCGCCCGAGCGCCCCGCTCCCCGGCCCCGAGACTCGCATAGACCCGACCCCCGTGGGTCCAGCCGAGGGGACGCGGCCCCGCCCCCGCCTGGAGGCTTGCCCTGGCCGCTTGCCGGGCGGGAATGACGGGCCAAGGCGTTCGGCGTCGGGACCCGCGGGCGGCGACCTCGCGCCCGCAGCCCCTGCCTCGGCGCCCGGTTTGCAAGCCGGATGCAGGCCCCTCCCCCCGGCCCGCCCACGGGTCTCACCGGGCCTCGGCCTGGGCCTCGGGGCGGGGGTCGGTCTCCTGGGGTGGCCTCGGGTGCGAGGAGGGCGCGGGCACGAGCTGCCGCCGCTGCCACTGGTCCCCAAGCGGCCACCGCCACCGCCGCCTTATCTCGGCCCCGCCCCCACCGGCCCCCGCCCTCGCCCGCCCATTGGCTCCGCCTCGCCCGGAGCCGCCTCCGGGGCTCGGCCGCCGCCGCCCCCCTCTACGCTTTGTCTTTCCCTCGCTCGCCGTCCCCCGCCTTTGTCTGCCCCCCGGTTCCGCACCGCCCCTTGGGCCCCGCGTTCGTCGGCCTCCGGACTTCGGCCGCCCCGTCGGCCCGCCCTGACGGAGGCAGGGACCGGAGCCGGAGGGCCCCGCACCGCATGCCTCGGGGCGGGGACAAGTTCAGGTTGAGACGCCGGGGATCGCAGGACAAATGGTGCTTCTGGCGAGGCCCCTGCGGCAGAAAAGGAGAACCGAGGTGCGCCTGGGCCTTTCGCTGCCTCAGTTTCCCCCGGTTGGCCCTCGCGGGCGCAGGCCTGACAGCCCCCCGTTCCCCGCCCGGCGCTCGGTGGGCCCTGCAGCCTGACAGACCCCGCGGGGGCGGTCCTGGAGGCCACCCAGCTTCCGCTCCCGGCCCTCATGCCCCCTCGGGCCGCAGAGTCCTCTCACCGCCAGGGGCCGCCTCGGCGCGCCCGCACAGCCGGCGGAGGACGACGGCGGCAGCGGTCGGGCACGCGGTCCCGCCACGCCGGCCGCGAGGCTTCAAGGCTCGGCCCGGGCCGCCACGTGGGGGGGGCCGGGGGCCGGCGCTTTCGGGCGCCCGCTCACCGCGAGGCCGGCCTGCACTAGGCGTCTGGCGGGACCACCACCCCTCAGCGCCATCTCCTACAACCCCCTAGAGAAGGGGCCCGGGAGGCTGCTGCTCCTGGTGTCCCAGAGCACCTGCCCTTCCACAGCGCGCCGTCCTAAAGGGTTTCTGTGGCCGGATTTTGTGGGATTAGTCAGCCCAACCCCTGCTGGCACCGTTGCTTGCCAGCAGTTGAGGACACCCCCTTCAAGAAAAAAGATTTCCATCCTTCAAACAAGCAAACCTTGGGTCCCCGAAACCTATTTAACACAAGGGAGCCAGGCCTGAAGATGTGAAGTGACTGTTGCAAATTAAAAGCTAGGGCAGCAGGGCTGGCAGGAGAAGCCCAGCCTCCTGCCCCAGCTCTTGACTCCCTGCCCCTCTGGCCAAGCTGGTTGCCAAGGCTCTAGTGCAATGCACAACAGCATGCAGGTGACCATCACTCACTGTGGGCAGTAGGGCCTCAGCTGGACGGGCCTCTGCTGGCCGCCAGGGACTGCTTGACTCTGCCTAACATCAGACTGGAAGCTGTTTCTCAAAGCACTGCCCTAAACATAGCTTGTTCCCACACTGTAGCAGGAATAGAACTCGTGGCTCCAGAGCAGAGCCCACACACTTGTCAGGGAACAGCTCAGTGCTTCTGGGCCTGGCAGGAGAGGGAGGGAGGCAGCAGGCTTCCCCAGCCGCCCGCTCTTCCCTTAGCTCACTCAACACACCCACGCTGTGCTTCACTTTTCTCCTCAGTCTCCTGTTTTTCTCTAGAGAAAGATTTGTGTTTGGGTTGAGCTGCACGCCTCAGGACTCCCTGGATGGGGTGTGAGAAACTTCTAGAACTGTTTATATGCATCTTTCTGGGCAGTTTCCACACCTGTCATCAGATTCTCAAAGGGGCTGCTATGATGCAAAAAAGGTGAAGCCCTCGGGGACACTAGGAGCAGGGCTGGGCTGGCAGCTGGGCACTGTCTGGCTGGCCAGGACCCTGAGGCCCCTTGCCGTGCCCAGGACAGATCTGCGGGCTGAACTGCAGGTAGCTACCCAGAATCAGCAGTTTGGGTGCTAAGGATGAGCTGACAGAAAGGTGAACAAAGCAGTTCAAAAGGAAAGAAAACAGGCTGATATGGTGGTGAGAAAAGGGAACTTGAGGTTTAAACAAAAAAATGAACGGGGCAGGGGGAAGGAGGAGCGTTGGAAATAAATGTGACCTGGTTTTCTCACTCACTCCAACATTTCAGGTCTCCCCACCCCACCTCATGGTTGGTGTCATTCCCTTCAACTCAACCCCTGTAAGTGCCCAAAGGAAGAGGCTTTTTATTTTTCTTTTTTAAACTGCTGTTACAATTTCTGAGGAAAGGGAAAGGGAGGGCATTTGATGGTTCAAAGCAGCTTCAGGGAAGGAGGGGCACTTCCTTAATCTGACATCTGAAGTGCCTGAGCAAGAGGAGGGCACCTCACCGCTGAGGGACCAGCAGGGGAAAGGGGCCAGGCTGGTGCACACACAGGCTGGGAAGCACCATGGAGGAGCCGAGGTTAGAATCACCCCCTGGCCAGGACTCACTGGCCACCAGCCAGGATGACAGCGGAGGGGGCAGGTCTGGTTCTTAGGTTGCTGGCTCTTTGTGTATTAGTTCCAATGGTAAGGAGACACCACAAGTCATGTTACAAAACAAAACCCCCCACCTCCTTTCCTGCCAAAGGTGAGCCTCTTCTGCCTGGACTCCTAGTGGCCCAGAAGTGGTCCTGTGGACTAGGGGCTGGTCTCCAGCACCTAGACCTTTCCAGCCCCAAAGCCGTTTGATGGCCATAAGCTAAAATTAGGTGTCAAAATTTTAACTAGTTAAGAGACAAATTTATTATGGGTTTTAAAAGAAATTGGTATGTTGTGAGGCTATCTAATTAAAGAGGCCACTGCTGTGCTTCCACAGCCACTTGTGGGACGACTCTTGGAAAGCAGAACCCGGGGCGGAATGACTCAGGTCTGAGCCTGTATGGCTAACACAACAGTGCCGCTCTCAATGGATTCTCTGAAAATTTTAATTTGTTCTGGCAATGAAACTAACACGGCATAACGACTTAAGCCTGCAGGCTAGGCAAGACATTATGGCCCTTGGAGAAAGCACCAGAGCAGCTGGCAGGAGGCGGTAAGATGGATCCTTGGTGGGAAAGGAATGAGCTACACAGATGAACTATGGGAAGGTTTTAGGTGTCAGGGCCCAACTGCTAAGAAGGATCAGGATGGCCTGCCCCAGTCTTAACCCAGTGCTTAAGAAAAAATACCCTTCTCTTTAATCATTAGGGGGAGGTCTGAGGGGAGGAGGGGCAGGTTGCTTATTGCTTGCCCCTCCACAGACCTATAGGATCTGAGAGCAGAGGGAAAGAATGGCATTAGGCTGGTAGGAGAGCAAGAGTGGGAAGAGGAAGTCACACAGTTCCCTGGGCCGATGAGTCAAACCCTGGGCTTGGACTTCAGCCCCCAGGGCCAGAACAGCATCTCTTCCTTCTGAAGAGGTCGCCTAAGCTCTCAGGACTGGGAATGTCAGCTTCCCGGCCCCTCCCGATCCCTGGTTATTGGGATTCCCTTGTGTCTTTTCAAAAGCGTTGGAGCAGTAAAGAAAAGTTTCCCTCCAGAATTTCTTTTCCAGTCAGTAAGCAGCCAACTCTCCTGGCAGAAATGTCCTTTCTACCCAATCTGCACCCAGAAGGTGGGAATGTGGCCAGCCCTCACGAAGGGCCCCAGAGGCTCATACGTCTCATATGTGCTGGGATGAAGAAGGTGCACATTCTTCAGAGGCTCAGAACTCCCAGTCGTCCACCTCCAGCTCTTCCAGATTTGATACTAGGCCAAAGATTCCGCTGTGATCCTGAGGCTGGCTGCCCTCAAAATTGGTGATGGGGGTGACAGGACGAAGTAACTCAGGCAAAGCCTCTGAGGCACGTCGCTTGATCTGGGGGAGGAGAGAGAGCTGGGGGTAGATTCTGTTGTTCTGGGTCCCAAGACACCACGGGGCAAGGAACCATCACCCCGGGACAGATGGGCTGTTGGAGCCAAGAGTGTCTATGAGAGGAAAGGGCAGCGCCTTTAAGTGGCTTCAGAAACATCGTCATGTCTCTGATTAAAAGGGAGGAGGAGAGAACAGATAAAGACCCCAAAGCTGAGGGCAAGAGAAAAACAGGGAGCCTCAGGAAAGTGCTACTATACCTGCTTGAAGAAAGAATGGTTCAGGAGGGTGCTGGCACTTGGTCTGTAGAGAAGGGAGAAGAGGGATCAGCATCACTCTCATGCCCCAGATTTCCAAAATCCTGCTGCTTCTACCTTACCCCCTAGTGACCCTCAGCTCACCAAGAAACAACAGCCAGAGCTACGCAGGCTGGCTTCTTAGCAAACTCCTGTGCCAATCCCTCTTGCTGTGGGGGCTCCTCCAGGGAACTGAGACTTTTACAGGGCAGAGGCAGCCTCTCAAAAACCCTGCCTTAAACTCCAGAGTCCTCTCTGCTCCCCCACAAGCCCACTCCTGGCCCAGCGGAAATACCTGACGTCCGGGTTGCGCTGTAGGCACTGCTCCACAAAGTGGTGGAAGTGGAGGGAAAAGGTGCGGTGATAGGGATGGGATGGCGAGTCGCCATTGGAGGTCCTGGGGGTGCTGGTGGCCAGGCTCTCAGTCAGGCCAGAGTTGGCCACCGAGCGTGAGGTGCTCATGGTCAGCTCCTCAGCAGGGATGGTGCTGGTGTCCAACAGGCAGGGCACTGTGCCGTTCAGTTTCTCCAGCAGCATCTGGGGAGGACAGAGCCAGGACCTGGGCTGCAGGGGGCCCCTGGAAGGCCTATAGAGTTTCTTCACAAATACACTTTTCCCAACATACAAATGTGACTTGGGGGGAGTACAGAAAAGACGTAAGTGGAATAAGGAATTCCTTATTGGAATTGGCCAAAGGAATGCTGGCCACTGGCTCAGCAGCCACACCCTAGCTCGGCCAAATTGAAGAGGAGGAGAGGGACTACAGAAAAGTACTCCCTTCACCACAGCTGGAAGGAAAGGGCTCAGTCTCCTCTCCCCCCTTTATAAGGCATCAGATCCTTTTAACTGTAGAGCCCTCACCCTAGGGTGAAGGCAGCAGCCACATCATTTTCTCTGAAGCCCAGCCTGTTTGCCATGCCCAGGTGGGTGCCATGGGGTCCATTATGCAGTGCGTCCAGTGCCATGGCCTGGGTTGTTGCTGCAGCAGGCTGTGCAGGAGCAGTGCACCCAGGGGCAGGCCAAGCTTGGGCAGCTGTTCCAAAGTCTCCAAACTCAGCTCAGGTAAAACTAGCCCCACCTTGAGGATTGCTGTCCTCATGAATTTCATGAGCTGTCCATGCCAGAAACCTGGAAATCTCTCTAGAGCTGTGCTAATATGGTAGCCACTAGCCACAGGTAGCTATTTATATTTAAATTAATTTAAATTTGGTTTGAAATTCAGATCCTCAGTCTCATTGGCCACAATTTAAATGCTCAATAGCCACAGGTGGCTAGTGGCTACCATATTGGACAGTGCAGACATGGAACATTTCCATCATCTCAGAAAGTTCTATGGGACAGTGCTGTTTCTGGATCTGTACCTCTTGTTCACCTTACATAGCCTTTTAACTCTTTCTAGAGCATCTTTCTGTTACTGTCTTACTTTGATTTTCTAGCTTCCTTACCTAGATTTCCACACCCTCCTAACTAGTCTCTTAGATCTAATCCATCTGCTAGAGTGATCTTTCTAAAATATATATCTGTTGCTATCACTCCTGTGCTTAAATGCCTTTAGCAATTCTCCACATGCTTTGGGACAGGAACCAAATGCCCTTGTGTGGCATACAAAATCCTTCATGATCTGCCCTTGCTTCCTTCTCCAGCCACATCACCCAGCAGCCCCCCAGAAGCACCTGTACTTCAGCCATTTACAACTACTTGCTGTTCCCCAGATCCTGTTCTTTCTTGACTTTGGGTCTTTGCACATGCTGTTCCCTCTGCCTAAAAGAGTTTCCTTTTAGTCCCTTCTTCACACAGTTAATTCCTATCTGCCTTCAAGACTCTAGTGTCACCTCCTCCCAGCAGCCTCCCTGGGCCTCCTGCTCTACAGAGCTCTCCTCTGGCTATTCTCCAGCTCTCTCCCCACAGGGCAAGCAGTCTTTCGGTTCAGGGGAGAGGCTCACTCAGCACCTATACCCCTGCGCTCCCCTCCCCAGTTCTAGATCATGCTCCGGTACTTGGGACCCAGGTAACCCTTTCCGAAATGACCCAAGTCTACTTCCTGGATTTGATAAGGCCTGGATAAGCCTCTTCCTTGGGTCTGTCTCCCAAGGGTAGACTATGCCACTGGCTGTGTATGCCTAGAAGTGGCCAAAGGGCAGTCATTGCAAGGGGCATGAACAGAAGTTGAACTTGCAGGCTGGAGTTTAAACGTATTAATCAGCACGTGGTAGCAGAGAACCTGAGAAGTCTGTGAATTCTAAATTAGAAACTGGCCTTCCAGGTATATTTAGAAAGGTAGGAGGATAGAACATTTTTTATAAATTTATCAACATTTTCAATAGACACATGGTATGTGGGCCTCCGTGTGCCCTCCTGCTCCAGGCCCTGCAATTGTTAGCAGTAGGCCTGCTCCTGAGGTCCCCTCCCCTGGGCTCCGTTACCACAGCAGTTATCACACAGAGAAGTAAACAGAGTTACACAACTATCTCCCCCACTGGGTGGGGCTCTTGAAGGAAAGGACTGTCTTTCATCTTAGTATCCCTGACTGGTGTCCTGAGTGTGGCAGGTACTCAACAAGTGTTTGTGGAAGGCAGGCAGGCAGGCAAAAAGGAAACCACTGGGCTGCAGGCTCACCTGGGTGGCAGGCATATCCTTAAAGGGGACATGGCCATTGGCCAGTTCACAAGCTGTGATCCCCACACTGTAGATGTCAGACTTGGCATCATAACCCTGAAGATTCTAAGTCAGGAGAGAAAAGCCACAGATCACTCTGTTTGTAGCCTTGGTCATTGTTCTTAGGGGGTGGAGCAAAAACTGAGGAGAGGAAAAGAAGGCCTGTCTCCAAATCAGGACCAGCTGCTAAGACTTTCCTTGCCCATACTACTGAAAAGTAGCTGCTATTTTAAAAGGAACGAATGTTTGGTGATGCTATGTACCAGTAGGATGAATGCTCGTTTAGTACAGTCATGCGCTGCAAAACGACATTTCGGTCATTGACGGGCCACATGTACAAAGGGGGTCTAATAAGATTAGTACCATACAGCCTAGGTGTGTAGGAGGCTGTACCATCTAGGTATGTATAAGTATGCTCTATGATGTTCGCACAATGACAAAATCGCCTAACAACACATTTCTCAGAACATATCCCCATTGTTAAGTAACATGTGACTGCACAGGGATGCCGAGAGCACCAAATATTTCCAAAGTACTCGCTCTTCCCGTAAGATGGGAAGATCTCTGAAGGCATCAGGTACAGTTTGGGACCCACCAAGAGGAAACTACATCTTCTGTGATGGGCACATAATGCCCATGCCGAGAGGCCTCTCAGGTCTACCTGGTAACAGGGAACCCCTCCCTCCGGGAACCCCTCCCTCCACTCAGAAGCAAAGAGCACCTCCCATCCTAGGAAACTCCTGAAGGCTTCCTTGGGAAATCATGAGTTGGTGGGGGATGGGGGCTCCTCAGGACCCAGTACACAGACCTGCTGGAGGACCTCCGGGCTGAGCCAAGGCAGAACCTTGATACTGTACTTGGGAAAATCGTGCACGACACGCTGCCGCTGCCCATGGCTGATCATGCTGAGGTTGCTGCGTAAACCAGACAGGTAGACCTTCCCATCCGCAGAGATGAGAATGTGGCTGGCTTTGACACTCCTGTGGGGGAAGGCGGGTGGGGGGAGGGTGTCACGGGGCAGCAGGAGCCCCTCACACCACAAACTTGTGGTCTTTACACACTAGATCAGGTCAGCTGTCCCTTGGCAGCATGTTTGTTTGTGTGTGTGTGTATTATACATGTGTATATACATATTATAAACATATTTTTATGAAAAATTTCACACACAAAAAAAGAGACCACAGCATGACCTCATTTACATATCACCAGATTTTAAAACTTATCATTATTTTGTTAAGGTTCTCTTTTATGCTCACAGACCACTGCTTCGCCTACCATATACTGCTTTGAGTCTGCACTTTTTGTTTGTAGGTGTTCTTGTAACATGCATCACTGTTTTGTATGCAGATCTTTTCAATTTACCTAATGGTACTGTGCTATGTGTCCCATTCTTCCTTTTTGTCTCAGTGCTGTGTTTTTGAGATCCACCCGTGTTGCCATCTGTACACATCTAATCTTTGTTTCTAAATGCCACCTGCGCTCTGGGGTGGGATCTAACACCTACTCATCCATTCTTCCAGGAAGGGTCACTCACACTGCCTCCAACCACCATGAATATGAACAATGACATCCACACATGTCCCCTGATGGGCCTGTGTGAGGGTCTTTGGGGTGTACATCCAGAGGCACATTGATGGTCCCGGGTCCGAGCGACCCTGACTGGCTGCATGGGCCCACCTTCCACTATTGAGACAGGAGACCCCACCTCCTCACCACACTGGGCCTCACCCAGCCTCCAAATTACATCAGTCTCAGGTGTATAAAGTGGCATCCTCCTGTTTTAATTTGCTTTTCTGATTATTGCTAGATTTGAGTATCTGTTCACAAGCCTGTTAGTCCTTTGGGTTTCCTCTCTTATAAACTTCATATCCTTGGCTCATCTTTCTATTGCTTTGCTTGTCTTTTTCTTGGTGATTCACAAGATTTCCTTGTTACTAATCTCCTGTGTGTTTTAGACAAAGCTAACATCTTCCACGTTGTCACTCATTTCTTAACTTTGTTCATGGTGTCCTTTATTGGAGAGAAATCTTTAATCTTGATATAATAAAATCCATCAATTTTTTTGTCTTATGTTTTGAGCTTCTAAAACATTTAGAAGTTCTTCTATGCCTTAAGTCACGAAAATATTTCCTCACATTTCCTTTTATCTAAGTCTGTAGTTTTACATCTGACATTTACACCTGTAGTCCATCTGAAGTGTTCCTTTGTATGTGGAGTTAGGTAGGGATCCAGTTTTATTATTTTCCCTACAGTGGGCCGCTTTTCCTGACACTATCTACTAAGTAATCTGTCTTTCCCCAGACTCTGGGGCACACACACCAGTTTGGGTACCCCAAGGAAGGAGAGAAGTATGGGGGTATAGAGAGGCCCATGTCAGATGTTCCTCTCACACAACGCTCAGGACCAAGCTGCTCAGTAAAGAGAACGTCAGCAGCTTCAGCACTAACAGGCTAAATGCTCTGGCCAGCAAGTCAGAGGCCAGGGCAGAATCCTGAGCCTTGACTGAAACTCTGGCTTCACTAACCTCTGTCAAGCTGCAACTGTTTACTTGAGGGCTCATGGGCACAGATCCCTGCTCTTGTAAAGGGTAACACGCCTAAGAATGCACCTGTGTACATATCCCATGTGGTGGATGTAGTCTAGGGCCTTGAGAACCCCCTGCAGGATGTAAGCAATCGCCAGTTCATTCATGCCATCCATGAAGTGTGTACAGATGAGATCCTTTGCAGAACCTGAAGAAAAGAATTGTGGGGAGAAAGGGAAGGGTAACAGAGAAGGAATAGCACATAAGCCAGCTGACAAGAGTTCTTAGAACCCTTCTCTGCCAGGACCCCATTCCCACTCACCATAGGCCATGAATGATGTGACAACCCACAGCTCATTGTCTGCAATAAAGGTGGCTCGATATGGCAGGATATTGGGATGACTGAAGAGTTTAGAGACATGAAGCTCCCCCTGAAAGCAATGGTAAGCTGAAGTCATAATCAGGAGACAGGGAAGAATGATGTTCAACATGAAGGTGGAGGCATGAATAACATGGGGACCTAGTACTTTCTGGGTGCTCCTCTCAGAGTCCTGAGAGCAGCCTAAGCAGGTGCCTTTCAATATGAGAGAAACTAGGCTCTGCTGTCTCTGCAGGGAAGCCAGCACTGCTTTGCCAGCTTCTGCCTAAGTTTGGCTTTGCCAGCCAATCCTGAAGAGCCTCAAGAAACAATTCCCTGCCAACAAGGAAACTGCTAACAACACAGCAGAATGTCCCAGTTCACCACCTCGGAGATGATGAAAACAAACTGTTGACTGAGACTTAGGAAGTTATAAGCTTAGCTCAACTTCAAGGGCCAAGGCACAGAACTCCTCTTTAAGAAAACAAAAAATGTTTTCCTGTTATACAGGAAAATGTTGTAGTCAATAGAAACAAGGCAAGAAAGTATTAAAGAACTAATGATAACCATTCAACATTAGAAGATATTTCTCCAGCAACCTCAGATTGAGAGATCCCTTCCTCGGGAGCAGCTAGAGAAACTCTAAGACCTATGGAATTTTAAAATAAATTTGGACAAAAGATGTGAAAAAAAAATTAGACAAAAGAACTACAGAAACTCCAGGATCCTGGCCTCCAGGACATGAGCTAAGGCCAAATAGGCAGTACCTTCTACCTGTCCACTGCTCTATAGAATACAGAAAAGAATCATAAAGTCCAACATGCTCTAGAACAAACTCAGATCTATGTTTTTTCCCAAATAACTAAGCTGAGACTGACTTTCAGTTCCATCCTCAGACCCACAAAACTACTCGGAACACATGAACCGGTATTAGAGCATGACTGGATGAGCACGAATTCAGAAAAACACTGTAAATGAAGAAGGGGGAGGGGCTGCAACTAACTGTACTGAAAACACACTGACCCAGGCCCTAACTCTAAGGTGTTCCCAGTGCAAGCTTTCATCAGCGAAGGGGAATCCAGGCCCCAGTCAGTTACCAGACCTGCGGTCTCTCCCAGTTTAACAAGAGGGCAGCAACTTGCTTCAACGACAGAAAGGAACCTCAAGCAAACAGGACGCTAAGAGCTGGAAGATGGCCACCCGTGAAGGACAGGCTGCCTGCATCTGGAACAGGATGGCCTGGGTTTAAATTTCTGCCTCTGTCACTTACTAGCATGTGTGACCTTGGGCAAGTTACTTAACCTCTCTGAATAATAAATAAATGAATAAATTAGGCACAAAGGAGTCTCTGGAGAAGAAAAGAGGAACATAAATCGGGCTGAGCAGCATTATAGAGTCCTCAGTGCCAAATGCCCAAGATTCTTCATTGAGAGCTTCCACAACTTCTTGGTTTGGGTTACCTTCATTTCCTGCGAGCTACTTGCAGAACACAGATGTAAGAGGTGCCTTGTAATTACAACTGGAACTAAGAGCCCACCCTCCAAGTGTCACATTCATGTTTTATTACCTGCAAGAACATCACCATCTCATTGGAACAAGCTTCTAGGTTAATCCTTCGTACGGTCACATACTCTCCCGTTGGTTTGTACCTTGCCAGATTCACTGTCATCAGGTCCTCAAATCCTCTGCCTAAAAGAAAAGAGGAATACCATAAACAAGGACAAGAGCAACAAAGGTTTTCATCTTCCTTAAAAAGACTTGATTTAAAAAGAAAATTCAAGTTAAAACTTTCACTACTGATACTTTCATGGCTGACATTTCTTGATTTTCTCCTATCAGCTCCTTCTCAGCCAACCATTCTGACTATGGCCCAGGACACCAGAAGTATACAGCCAAAAAGAAAAAATTGCAAAAGAGCTTCTCTCCTGGTAATGTGATCTCTTTTCCCATACTTGGAAGAAGAAAACCAAAAAAAGACCCAGAAAAGCCAGTTTTGTCACCACGAATCCTGCTAACTTGCTGACAGTCCCTGGCACACCTTTATCTGGGGATGCTGAGAAGGTCGCAGCAGTCCCCTGGAGCGTGAAAGCAACGACAGTCCTGGACATTACCTATAACGGTGAGTAGCTCATAACACCCTCCCTCTGGCAGAAAGCTACTCATGATCTCCTGTTTAGAGAAGGATGCTATCGACTCTGAGCTCGCCTCATTGGTCTAAAAAAAAAGAAAAATAGGTTAATAAGAGAAAACTGGGGGTGGGACAGGAGTGGGAGTTGGTAATTCAGACCCACAAAGAGACTGGCCTCTAAACAAACATACAAATTCTGGCTCTGGAGCAAAGAAATAGTGCCAGAACTATCTGATGAGAAATGTCAAGAAAAACAGATGTTCAATGTAGTTATCAGCAGGTAAGTGTTAGAGTTATCTACAAACGGGAGTGGGTCACAAGGGCTGGTTCCAGTCAACTGCTCATCTGCTTGTCCTTTCCAACAACTGACTCATTTGCTAAAAATTATGAAATTCTTAGTTGGGGAAAGGGTGTCTGGAGAAAGGCACGTTTAGAAAAGAGAAGCGGGATGGAGAGTGGGGGGTTCTCTTGAATTTCCTACTGCATTGGGGTCCTATTTGTAAGGTCCTGACTACAAGATCCCGACGGTCAAACGCTGAATCTTGCTATAGGGAAAATATGGCCATATTTAGCAAACCAAGAGTCCAGACCAATCATTCCTTGACATTTCCAAGTGAAGCAAGAAAACAGCCAACACACTGGGTTGCAGGCAAGGAACAGAGTCGTCAGGTCTCAGCCATCATCCCAGGCAGTAGTGACCTGCTCCCTCTTTCTTGCCCACTCATGCTACAAATGAAGCTGGATCCCAGCCATTTAGCATGTGGGCGCCACACCTCTGGCCTTTGAGGTCCTGAAGGGAAGTGCCCAGCAAAATATATGGCAGACCAACAGCTCTTCCTCCAGCTTAATAGGCTCAGTTTCCTTCTTCTAGACCTAAATTTATTTAGAGACTGTGAGTATTTTTCTTTCTTTTGGATCCTTTTTAGAAGTGTGTCTAACTGAAATGGAGAACCCTTGGTCAGTGCATATTTCATATGCTGTGTTCATAAACCTGAGCTCTAGTCAGGAAAAGGTCTTTGTGAATGCATGAAAGGCTCTTAGCTCAGGACTACCTAGAGAGCGTGAGTTGAGAATGTTCTGATGGTGGTACCACCTTGTTGGGGCTCCCTGACATTTCAGGCACATCTGATTTCAAAAGAGTTGATGCTGCCAACGGGGAAAGAAACCAAGTGGGGTTCTGCCTTCCACACCACTTACACTGACAATAAGAGGAACCTGGTCAAGCAAAATAGAGCCCTGCCAGCAAACTACATTTCTAATTTAATCAATTTTATAAGATTCATCCATATTGTTGTATTCAGTCATGTTGTACACTCATGTTTTATAATATTCATCTTGTGAACATACCTCAGTTTATGCATTCCAATGTTGATGGGCTTTTTGGGTTGTTTTAAGCTCTGCTATTATGAACTGTGCTACTAGAAACACATTTGAATGTGTCTCCTGATGCACATATGCAAGAGTTACTCTAAAGCTTATACCTAGGAGTGGAATTGCTAGGTCACAGAGTATATGAACAATCAACTTCATGAGATAATGCCAAATTGTTTTCCAAAACGGTTATACCAATTTACACTCCCACCAGCAATATGAGTATGTTCTTGTTGATCCATCATTTCCCCAACACTTGGCATATTCAGACTTAATTTCTGCCAGTTTCATTGTGGGTTTGATTTACATTTCCCTGATTACTAATGGAGTCGAGCATCTTTTCATGTATTTATTGGCCATGGGGGTTTTCTCCAAGGTGAAAATGTCTCTTTCTGTCTCTTGTCCATTTTTCTACTGAGTTGTTTTAATGCATGATTTCCCCAAAGTAGGCCCCATGGAACATTGATCCTGGCAGGTAATGCATGAAAAAGGTTTACACGTTCAATTAAGTTAGAAAATGCAGCATACTCTCTCTCATGGAGAATCACAAGTTGTATTCACTTATTAAAGGCTTTGAGAAGTTCTGAAGTAAGGAAGCTTGTTTAACTTTGTTTAACCTAGCATTTTCCAAAGATACTAGTCCAGGGAACCCTTTTGTGCCTAATATCTGTTCAATTTTGGGAAAGATAATTTGGGAAAAGCTATTTTATGTAAAACATGGCATAATGCAAAGACTATAGGCTTAGGGGCCAGAGAGAGGCAGAACTTGAACTCAGGTTTATCACTTGTTCTATGACCCTGGGCCAGTCACTCTAATCGCTTGGGATTTCCATTATCTCATCAGTGGAATAATTCCCACCTCACAGAGCTGCTATGAAATTAAATAAGAGAAAAATATGTACAGCTGGGCACTCCCTGGTGAATCACAGGTATTCAATATATGTGAACTCTGTTCTTCTCCCTCTTTTGCTGTCTACTTTTTGGTCACTCTCCTGTTCAACAAATAAGATGGAACAGAGAAAAGGGAGAAAACAGAGAATCCTAGATAGAGCTTGATCAGTAGTTAAGGTTGGTTTGATTTTGGTTTTTAATACTTATCTGTGTTTTCGAATGCTCTGAAAACAAATTCTAGGATCATTTAATAGCCACTGTAGCTTCTTGAAACACTCTTTATCTTCAGAACAATCTCAAGATACTGGTGACTACATGCCAGGTGCCTCACACAGGTAAGGGAGATACACAACCAAGGGACAAAAAGGATTAGCAATTTGAGCAAAAAGCTCAAACCAAGAGCTCTGAAATGGCGACTCCCCCACTTGTTTACAATTTACAAGCTTGGTGCTAAGTTAATCTTGAGGAGTCCCATTTTCTTAACCTTATACCTCTAACTGCCTGCACATATTCTTGCTCTGCATATCCTGCTTTCTCAAGTATCAATCTGCTCCTAAATAAAATGAGTGTCATCAGTTAACACAAAATCCAGGGGGTTGCCTTCAAACCCAACTCCCTACTCTGGCCTGTGAGCATCCATGTTTCAGCCCCTGCCTACTTCTATGATTTCATCCCATACTACACTCCCCTGACTCACTCCCTGACCCACACAAACAAGCATGCTTCAGTCTTAGGAAACTCGCACTAGCTGTCCCTTTGTTTGGAACACCCCCGCCCTGCTCCTTCCCTGCCTCTGCCATTTTCTCATGCTGCCTCCTCATCATTGAGGTCTCAACTTAAACGTCATCTATTCACTGAAGTACTGTCCAGAAAGTAAGGTAGGCTCCTAGTCACCTTATTATATCATCTTGCTTTACTTTCTTCACAGTAGTTATCACTGCTGTTTGTTTATTTATTGCCTGTCTCCTCTACCACAATGCAAGTTCCATGAGGGCAGGGACCTTGTCTGTCTTGTTTACCGATGTATTTCCCAACACCTACAACAATGCCGGCACATACTTAAAAAAAAATCATTTAAGGGCCGGCCCCATGGCTTAGCGGTTAAGTGTGTGCGCTCTGCTGCCGGCGGCCTGGGGTTCAGATCCTGGGTGAGCACCGACATACCGCTTCTCTGGCCATGCTGAGGCCGCATCCCACATACAGCAACTAGAAGGATGTGCAACTATGACATACAACTATCTACTGGGGCTTGGGCGGGAAAAAATAAATTAAAAAAAAAAAAATCATTTAAGCAAAGTTTGAACCGAGGAGGTTTTCTGCCCAAGACCTTGTCATTCCCATGGGCTGAACAGAAGAGTAGGGTAAATGTAGCACCTAGTTCCACTGGAGACAGGGTTCAACATAATGACCTATACTGGAAATGCCAGCCCTCACACAACACATTCACTAGATCCCCTGTTACTAGGGGATCTTTGTATATCACACTGATACCTGCATGTGAGAAAGTACTGCATTTTTTAGCAGGTAACAATATGGCCCCAATGACAATAAATCTAGAACTACTTTGCATTTGAAGGTCTTCTTGCCTCTGATCTCCAGGCAAATTCCTTAACATTTCTCTAATATGAAAAAAAGAAGGACTATAAAGGATAGCTGAGTCCTGATATTAAAAAGAATTTTTATATGCACTTTAAATAACTCCCTTTGGAAAAAATACAGATAGATACTTTTTTTTTTATTACCTACCTCCCTCTTTCTTGCAGGGAGTGAATATGAGACATATTGTCTATCTACTAGGCTACACTAAAGACACACTCTTGTTGAGCCGAGGTAGGGAATGATTCATTAAACTACTGATATAATTAGTTAGTAACTTGAAAATATTTCTACTATCTTTGTTGACTACAGAAAACTACTCAAAATTGTTAGTTTTACAAAATAAAACTCTAGGTAATCAGGCATACGAGTTCACGGGCGATCTGGAATTGCATGAAATGAACTAGTCTAGTGGTTGCTCTGAGTCCTCTACCACTCTGTCCCCAACTCACTGGAAACAATCCTAAAATGGAGGCTTTCTACTTTGTGGATGTTCTATAGGTCTGAACTCAGAGGGAAACCGACCTTGATTGAGGAAAACAAACAATAAAGGCAATATTTTGAAAGGAAGAGGTCTGGTCTGGTATCACCACAGGAAAAGCAGGTTAATTCATTATATTGTTTCAGATTTAGAAAAGGTCAAATTCAGATGAAAAGGATGAAATACTTAGTCCATTCTCTTTAAACATAGCATGGCATAGTTTTATTAGTATCATGTATAATCTCAAATTGCCTAGAGAAAGAAACTAATTCTATCCAAGTCTTTTCTTAAGAAAGTTTCCCCCACCATGAAAAGCATTTTATTCATTTTGACATGTTTGAAAAATACATAAGCTACAGATACCCAGAAATCACCATAAAATGATAACTTTGTTTAAAGAGTTTATAAACAAAATACAATAAAGCACACAAAGACAATATTTATGAAATGCTATGAAATAAACACACTCAATCTCGCACAGGTTTCACACAGGATAACTTTTGGTATAACATTGGCAGCTGTGAAAATATGAAGATTATACATAATTGGCATTGTGTTCTGGAAAAATACCTAACTGATCCTATAGGAAATGTTTTTGGTCTCCTGACTGGAAAATATTTGGATCTGATGGAGAGGTGGTCCTGACTAGCAGACCATATAAACACAGCTAAAATTTTACTCAAAGAGAAATTCCAAGTCAACATCATCATCTTTCACTCAGCCTTGGGGCTGCCTGCAAATGGTACAAATGTCTGTCATCTGAAGAGTAAGAAGTCTATTTAGAAAGGGGCTCTTATCCTCTTTCTTCCTAAGATATTGATTCACATTATCAAAAATAGCTTGGTACACTGTGCACATCTGCTGTTATTTACTTAGGTAAAATAAACTAGAAGAGTAGGAAGCAGGGCAAGAATCTTGCAACTTTTGCCAATAAAAATACATTTTCTGTTTTGTACTTTGTAATTTTGGGTTTTGTTTTTTAAGGTAGGAGATTTGAGGTCCTGCCTTATAATCTAGACAGAGATCTATATTATCACTGTGGACTGAAATCTATTATGAATAGACTAAGGATGGAAAATTTAGTACCAGTACCCACTAAAAGATAACCAGATTAGATTTTTGAAACTTGTTTTTTGTTGGAGGGTGTGGTGGGTGACTGGTGGGGTTGGGGAGGTGAGGAGACCTTAATACCTGAGAAAGAGAGAGAGACAAAAAGTGCTTGAGACTTTTTCAGTTTTCAAAGTACACATCAAAATCTTTCCAGGGTGAAACCTGAATCTCCACAAATAAAAGAATTACACTACAAATAAAGCTCAATGACAGATAAGCAGAAACAAAATGAAAAGCCAACGAAACACACAAACTTCCACAAGAAGTCATCTCCATGCAACAGTCATAGTGCTAAAGCCTAGAAAGTCACTTACTTTTCTCCGAGTGTCACCCGGAGGCTGCTCTGGAGTAGAGAAATTGATTGTTGGCATTTTGTTTTTTAGCAAAAGACACACCCACATTCAGAACAGCAATTATTGCACTTAGGACTACATTTATTAATAGAAACTACTTAAGAGTCATTACAGCAAAAAGTGACTACAGCGCTACATATAAACACACACACACAGATCCACAGTAAAAACGGTGCAGAGAGATGAGGTTTTAAACAGGAATCTATGGCACTTTAAAACTTAGCAAGGCTACTATTCTATACGCATTATTTACTGAGTGTAACTCAACTGCATAATTCTGGTCATACATTTACTTTTCATATCAGCACACAATGTTATTTTCAATAGGCCTGTTTCAGAGTCTTATATTGTGAACAAAAAAATTCATTATAAAGTTATAGAGATGGTTGGCCAGTTCCCAGGGAGTGCAGGTACTAGAAAAGAGGATTAAAAAAGAAAGGCAAAAAACGTTTTAATACAGCAACCATTGGGTACCCATTACCCAATCTGACTCTCCAGTCAGATACATTCTATTCTGAATGCAAATAAAGCAAGGGCTTTTTGGCCCTCTGGTACTCTTGGTGAAAACGAATAAAGCAAAGGACAACTGAAATAATTTTATGCTCTTAAATCAGACAAATTCTGTGTCTGTGCTTTTGATTTTCTCTATTCTGTAAAAGTGATAAAAATCATCAAAGTAGATTTTTAACTATAAAATATTGGAATGGTTACACATTTCCAAATATCTCAAATTAGAAGTTAGAGCATCCAACTGTATTGCTGAGGAGATTGGCTACAGAGTAAATTAGCCTCAATTTATCAAAATAAGAAACATTTTTTTTTGCCTTGGACATCAGTTTTCTGGTACACAAATGGCAGGAGCAATTGCTTAAGACAGTCTGTCAAAGGTAAGAAGCCAGGTGAACGGATTAAAGGAAATCAAACACAATCTTTCAGAGTAGAAGGCAAATTCCAAGTTGTATAAAACTTGGTAATATATACTTCATCAAGCTGTAAACAATATACAGAACAAGTTCTTCACCCTCCCCAGATCAGAGACTAGGGAACAGTTAAAAGACAGCCAGAGATCCTATACTCAAGACACTGAAACCAAAATCCATTAATTCAATTCACATATACCAGAATATTTCTAACTAATTAATTGTAAACTGGACTTCCAACTTAATTTCCATCAATGCCAATGTTTAAACCATTGTATTCCCATTAATGATGGGAAGAAAATGAGAATAGCAACAGAATATAGTATTTTTGTTCCATTAGCCTTTCCTTTACCGTGTAGCTAATTTTTATTCTTTGTTTTAACTCATCATCTTTCTTTTTTTTTTATAATTTTATTTATTTTTATTTTTTTCCCCCCAAAGCCCCAGTAGATAGTTGTATGTCATAGCTGCACATCCTTCTAGCCGCTGTATGTGGGACGCGGCCTCAGCATGGCCGGATAAGTGGTGTGTCGGTGTGCGCCCAGGATCCGAACCCGGGCCGCCAGCGGCGGAGTGCGTGCACTTAACCGCTAAGCCACGGGGCCAGCCCCTAACTCATCATCTTTCTGAACTCTCATTTGCCTAGTTTAAAACACAACACTTTGACAAAATTCATGAATAATACTGCTCCAGAAGTTCTTTGAGAAGCATTAGGGAAAATAAATTAATAGGTACTACCTAGTAACTAACAAGTTTTGAGTTTTCACTTACTTAAGCCTATTAGGGGGCATTATGGATCAGTCGACCAATACACTCAGACTGATAACCTGTTTCTTTAGCTACAGGGGCCGAAGAGAGTATCTTGGTGTTCAGATACAAAGAATGGGGCTCTACTACTATTATTTTTATAGAAAGGAATTTTCTTTTCCTTAAATTAAGATCACAGTTCCCCAAAAGGTTCAATTTGAAATTAGCCAAAGGGGAACCCTGGGCCTGTTAAACCTCAAAGTTGCAAACCTACTTTACCTCTGAAATCAACATTTAGATTTTACAACAGAAACTTAATATTTTTTTCCTGACAGATTTTTCCTTAGTTCTCTTTAAGTCTCATAATTTCTACCATAAAAAGATGAGTCAACTAGATTGATCAGTTAAACCAGAACTTTTATATCACTGCTACCTTTGTTCTATAATTTTATTTTTAAAATCTTCAAGACTACAGACTTCTAAACACGTAGTTTTATTTTTCATTTAAGAATACGTATTTCAACTGGACAAATACTGAGAAGAAACACATGTGCCTTTAAGTAAACACTGGCTTTCTAACAATCAAGACAGGCCAAGGACAAATGCCAGATCAGTTCTTGGGCCGGCCCCGTGGCTTAGTGGTTAAGTGCGTGCGCTCCGCTGCTGGCGGCCTGGGTTCAGATCCCGGGCGCGCACTGATGCACCGCTTCTTAGGCCATGCTGAGGCCGCGTCCCACGTACAGCAACTAGAAGGATTTGCATCTATGACATACAGCTATCTACTGGGGCTTTGGGGGAAAATAAATAAATAAATAAATAAAAACATTAAAAAAAAAAAAAGATCAGTTCTCAAATCTTTGGGAAACCATGGATTCAAAAAGGAGCTAAATAAATATAACAGTGTAGTTTACACCTGCCCTTAGAATTACTAATTTCTATAAATTTATTTAGTCAACAAAAAAGTAGTGATATTTATCCTGAAGTGGCGCCTAAATGCCATATTGTACTTACCTCCAAATAGTTCCAAATCTCTTAAGCCCTCAACAATGAACTTTTCCGAGACCCACCGCTAAAGAAGAAAACCCCAAAGAGAATTAGTATTTCTTTCAAGCCACAAAAAATTAGCTATCAGCCATTAGACAGACAAACAAAAACAGAATCATGCAGTACAGTTAAGATACATTTCTATGGAAAAGTTTTGAAAAGAATCCTGGATTTAAATCAACTGTAAACAATAGATTATTTCCTTTTTTCTATTCTTCTTTGCCTAATTTGATGAATAATTCTTAAATCTGACAGATGACAAACATGTAGTTCTGGCCTTAATAATGAAGAACGTTTTTGTCCTTCATATATACAAAACTACATTTTGGTTCCACCTTACTCATTCCATGGCTGTCTATTACAGATGGGTTGGATCATTAATGCCAATTTGAAAAATATTATTGGAATTCACAACACAGAAAACAGGGATGAAACAGTAGTTTTTCACAAGCCTCTATTAGTTTGTAAAAGAAAACAGAAAGCTGTATATTCTTTCATCCACTAGGGTTTCTAAAGACATTACCACTTACATTTTCTACCAAGTTTATAAGGACCAAACTAGCATGACCAATCTATGGTTCACTTTCCTGACCTATTTTAAACAAGTACTGGATTTCCATCACACTGATCAGTGGTCTGGTTTCACCTGAACCAGGCTAGGTTGAAATAGAAAAGAAGCTCATATTTAAAAGCAATGGAATCAAGATTGTATTTCACTTAAGTTTGGCTTGGGGGCATTCTTTCCACTGGGCAGAGTTCAGGCTAAGGAGAGATTCTGTTTTTCCTCTTAATTAACAGTGGAAGTTTACTCTTCCCAATATAAATTGTTCTTATATAAATAAACATAAGAAAAAAGATTAGGTAACATTCAGAAATAAGTTACACAATATGGATTATGAATTGGAACTATAACATCATTCTCTGTCCTTCTCTATATCAATTTTTTCCAAATTAAAAACAAAGAAACAACATCCTAAATCAAAAATTTGATATAAAAAAATTATATGCACTGTACCACAAAATATAATTTACACTTTAATATTTAAAGAAAGTGGTATATTCATAATGTCTCATAGCCGTTATACCTTTTTACAAGATTTAAAAATAATTACTAATGCATTTAGAAATTAGGTAATTGATAATAAGTAAAATAAGATACTCTTTTATGAAATCACTGAAGCTTGTACAGAAGCTAAATCCAGTATTTGTTCTTGAGGCCATTTTAGTTGGTAAAGTTTTCAAGTGTGATAAAAAATTTTTTTTTTGGTGAAGATTAGCCCTGAGCTAACATCTGCTGCCAATCCTCCTCATTTTGCTGAGGAAGACTGGCCCTGGGCTAACATCTGTGCCCATCTTCCTCTACTTTATATGTGGGATGGCTGCCACAGCACGGCTTGATAAGTGGTGTGCAGGTCCATGCCCGGGATCCAAACCTACAAACCCCAGGCCGCCAAAGCAGGACAAGTGAACTTAACCACAACACCACCAGGCCAGCCCTAATAAAATTTTTCATGTTCAAAAAGTCTTCAGTTAAAACCTTTAACTACACTTAGAAAAAAGTGTTCCAATGATTACAATTTGATACTGATTTTTAAAACACACAAATTCATTGAAAATACACCGGAAATTGGCAGATCATTAGCAGTTACATATCTACACTGAAAAGGGCCATCAACTCATAAAATGTTGAAAGACTGATATTCATATAAAATAAGCCATCTTGCTTCTCTATCAGACAACCTGGTGGGTATGTTCTGTGTCTCTGGTCAGCCTCTGCCTGCAAGCTCTTTTCTCAAGAGTGAAGGCTGCAATACCTGCTTTACATCCAACATCCATCACTTCTGTACGATTCTGAGCATCACATAAAAAACCACCTACAATATCTGCCAAAATACATTGCTTTTCAGAAAATAAAAACAGTAAAGCCAGAAGAAGAGAAACACTCACCCTAATTCGCTCTGGTTTACTTACAAGAAAAGACATGAGTTCCTAATGTGTAGACCTACTTCAATTTCAAAAATTTAAACCTAAAAGGAAAACAGAAACAGGTTGAGTTAGTCAGATCTCCTTTTTATAGAAATACCTTTTGATTGACAAAACTTACTATGAGTCTACCATTCAAAGCACTGTACTAGACCCATAAATTGCTAGATTCTCAAGATTTGTTTAGAGAAAGTTTCAGTGACAATAAACTGGGATGTACTTCGGCCAAGTACATTCGGAAATACTGCAATCTCTATAAGAAAAGAGAAGTTTGTTATTATATGGTTTTCTTTAAATTAATTTTTAAATTTCTCTTGACTGAAACCCATTCCCCCTCAACCTGTCTACTTTCCAGAGGTAATTACCTTCACTTCTTTTGGCTGTTTATCCTTTTTTATCATCATTTTTTTTTTTTTTTTGAGGAAGATCAGCCCTGAGCTAACGTCCATGCCAATCCTCCTCTTTTTGCTGAGGAAGACCGGCTCTGAGCTAACATCTATTGCCAATCCTCCTCCGTTTTTCCCCCAAAGCCCCAGTAGATAACTGCATGTCATAGTTGCACATCCTTCTAGTTGCTGTATGTGGGACGCCGCCTCAGCATGGCCCAACAAGTGGTGCATCAGTGTGCACCCAGGATGGGAACCGGGGCCGCCAGCAGCGGAGTGCAGCACTTAACTGCTCCGCCATGGGGCCGGCCCCCCTCGTCATTCTTTTTTTTTTTAATTTTTATTTATTTATTTATTTATTTTTCCTCCAAAGCCCCAGTAGATAGTTGTATGTCATAGCTGCACATCCCTCTAGTTGCTGTATGTGGGACCTGGCCTCAGCATGGCCAGAGAAGCAGTGCGTCGGTGCGCGCCCAGGATCCGAACCCGGGCCAACAGTAGTGGAGCACGCGCACTTAACCACTAAGCCAGGGGGCCAGCCCTCATCATTCTTAATTAATGTTTATATGGCCATGACTTATCCATTTTAGACTTTTACCTACTAACTTCCTACCACGGTAGATGAAGTCTAAGCTCTCCTATATCATCCTCCTGCACTCTATTTTCCTGCCTTCATTCTGCCAACATAGTTGTGGCACGATTTTTGGTTAAACATTTACATTACTATGACTATGCAAACATGGTTCATAGTTGAGGCAAACAATTAGAAATAACTATGTCTTCCTTCTTTCACACCCATTTTTTCCCTAGAGTTAATAATTGCCTCATTTTTTCACTTGCTTGGTTTTCCATGTAGCTATTATTAACTTTTCCCAAACACTTCAACATCTCTGCTGTTTGTGTTATCAATATATTTTTTCATATACTGAAACTCATCCATTCCAATTTTTCCCTGGAGATTGCCTTCCCAGGGCCTTCCATCCTCCTATTGCAATCTGGACTAGTTGCTTTCTAGACCAGCTGCACTTAGTCAGCCTTTTTAGTTTGGAGATTTGGACCTTCCAATTCTGGGAAATGTTCTTGTATTGTTTCTTTGATAATTTTGACTCCTCTATTCTCATGCTACAGAATTCCTAATAGTTAAAGATGTACTTCTAGAATTATCCCCTATTATACTTGTTTCATTCCTATTTTACAAGTCTCTACTTTCCAGGAGATTTCTTCAACTTTATTTTCCAACCCTTCTACTAAGTTTTAAATTTTGGTTACACATTTCAAAGAGTTTCTGCCATTTCTTAAATGTGTCTTTGTTCATATCATCCTGATCTTGTTTTTGTTTGCTACTTATAGTTAAGAATTTATAGGGCCGGCCCTGTGGCTTGGTGGTTAAGTGCACGCGCTGCGATGCTGGCGGCCCGGGTTCGGATCCCGGGTGCGCATCGAGGCACCACTTCTCCGTTCATCCTGAGGCCGAGTCCCACATACAGCAAC